AGGGGTAAAAACATAACCTCCATCCATTTTCAGTGGCGGAGGTAAATATTATTCTTTGCTTCCACTCATAAATTCTTAAAATTAACTGATAAGAGGACAAAATAAATACCAGCTATTACACTTAATCAGGCCACATTTCCAAGTATTATAATGTCATCATCTGCTTCTCACTGATTCATAAAAATATTATAAATTTAAAATAGTGATAATCAGGAGACTAAGACTATTACACTTGGGTAATTGAATTGAAAAAAAATTGAAAGTGCAGTTTTATGTTAATTTATTACCTTCTTTTTTATGCATTCACAGACATATTTGATTTCAGATTATTATCTTATGGGATGCTTTAAACAGTGAATTGTTTTTCTGTTTTTAGCATCAGGTACTCTGATATCCAACAATTAAAAATATCTGCAAAGTTAGATTAAGGACTGTTAAGCATAGGATAAATTGAGAAAATACATCAGTATAAAAACAAACTCAAGTGAACTAAAAATCAACTTCTGTATTTGTAATAAGTGTAATCATTAATTTACCAAACTGATTGGCTTCTTGTTGGTTAAGAGCTGCTGGGGTAAGAAGCTTTCCAAATATCTACACAGAGACTGAGAAAGAAATCAAAACCAAGAAACAAAAGTACCAGTCTTGTGTGTTTATCACACTTTTACAGTCAGGCAAAAGCCTTAGTGTGGTATCCCACAAATCATTAGGTTACATACTTTAACTAAATGTCTACATACAACATACAAACCATCTCAAGCCAGTTTGTACAGATATCTGTAACACCTGTTTGAATAGGCTATCTTTCTAGAAAGTCCACACAGAAACATATATTAGCTTGAGACTTAAGATGTAGCATGTGACCTTTACTTGTGTAAAAATATCAGCCCATTTTTATGTCCTCATGACATCTGTTCAACACAGATGCGATTAACTACATGTAGAAACAGCAGGGAAATTTATAAAATGCATATGAATAGGTTTGAATAAAGACATATTCTACACTAGTGAATAGGCCTAAATAAATACATATTCTACACTAGTGAATGGATCAGTACTGTGTCTATACACAGACACTAGAGATTGTTATCTTTAAATTCTTCAAGATGATCAAAAATGTTTTCCAAACAAATCTTAGACAAAAACTGTCTTAATATTTAATAACATCATTTGTTTCAGTTACTAATAGAATATGTCTTATTCAGGCCTATTCATTAATGTAGAATATGTATTTATTCAGGCCTATTCACTAGTGTAGAATATGTATTTATTCAGACCTAGTTAAATAATGTAAATGTAATGATCCATAGTCCTTGTTTGTACAGGATAGTGAATTTAACTAGGACTTGTATTATTTTTCTGACATCTGTCATTCTGAAGATGGTGATGATCCACAAGAATAATGCACATTTTTATTTTTATTTTTCAGTTTTGGTATGTTAAGAAATCCATGTGGTTTTTGCAGTATTACAATCTAAAGCAACAGTACAGATTATGTGTTATTATTTTTTTAAGATTTCATTACTACATTGTTTTGAAGTGTTTTTTTTTGTACATATGTTTTACTAGTGGAAATGAACTAAATACTAGTTATTACTGTACAGTACTACAAGACTTTCCGTGGGTATCAAATACTTAAGTGGTGTAATAAAAAAGCTTTTTCTGTTTTACATTTTATTTAGCCTAAAATAAAATATGCTCAATCCTGTGTGTCTTACCATCTTATAATAACGGAAATAGTTTAGCCGTGAGATTGATGTTTAACCAGTGTTATTTCATAATTTTATATCTTATATTCATAATTAAGAATAGGAATAAAAATACAATAACTCACCACTAGATTATGGAAGACTAAAGATAATATGAAGGTATTATCCTAGTTGTGATGATAGTTAAGTGAGGTTGTTATGGCTCCATCTAACAAATGTGTGAATTACAATGGTGTGAACTGTAAGTTTAATAGTTATGTTACTAATTGTCTTGAGATGTATACTGACACTACCATTACACAGTTTGCTACCATTCAGTAGAGTATTGTTTAATCAAATGACTGTATGGTGGATTGCTGTGAATGCTGTCTTTAACCTGCATGCCTTCAAGGATGTTGTAGAACAAATATATTAGTTGGTATTTCTGTTGATGTGATGAGACTAGCATGACGAGTGAGGTGGATGGCTGAATGGGGTGCCCTGTCTACTTTCACCCAATCAGCGGCTCCAATCAACTCCCTGCAGCAGTTCAGAGTAATCACCCAAGGAGCTGGTGGCCAGCATGCAGACTTCTCCATCACCATTACAAGTCCATCGGGAAGAAAGACGAAAGCTCACATCATTCCAACAGCTGAAGGTTTCCTTGTCAACTTCATGCCCACTGAGTTAGGGGAGTATCTTCTAGCCATTGCTTTCTGTGGTGCTCCTGTCTCCACTGTTCCTTACAGGATGATGGTGAAACCAGATGCAGACTTCAATTTAGTTCGAGTTTATGGCCCTGGACTGACTGGTGGTATTAAGAACAGACCTGCAGAGTTTGTGATTGATACAAGAGAAGCTGGCCAAGGTAACCTAGGAGTGACAGTAGAGGGACCATGTGAAGCTGCGATTAATTGCCGTGACAATGGAGATGGAACTTGCTCTGTGGCTTATTTTCCTACTGAAGTTGGACATTATACTGTAAATATCACTTTCAATGGTCATCATGTTCCTGGATCACCCTTTGATACCTTCATTATATCAGATGTGGAGGTACGAGATATTCGAGTGAGAGGCATAGGAATACAACCTCAGGGTAGGAAGGAAGTTATAGTTTATTGTAAAAATGTTTTACTTGTAATTCTTATTATCTGATGTATTTGTGAATAAACAAGTAAAATCATGTTAATTTTGTATCTTAGTTTTTATCTCAAATATTCAAGTGGCTAGAAAATAACTTTATAAATATATATATATTACATGACTAGAAAATCAAATTCTAATACTTAGATGGTGTAAGGATTATTTTTGTTGAATTTTAAGAGTACCAAATGACTAAGAAATGTTTTTGCTGTCCTCAATTTTATCGAGATTTCTTGAATACGATCATTATTGACTGTTTAAATAAATTTGGTTGTCTTAGTACTTTAAGTTTCATATGCACATGGTTCCTTAGCCAAAAACTTAATTTATCTTTAGTTTATAATAACAAATAAAATGACTACTTGAGTTCAAAAGAATTAACTGTTCAATCCAAATAGATGTGTTCAGCGTAACAGCTTGAATCATTTAAAAAGTTTAAGATATCATAACCTAGATAATTCACATAGAACATGCTCAAAACAAAACTATGGCTTTTTAGTTTATTTACTAAGAAATACCTTACATATGGCTGAGAAAGAAGCTAATAACAAGATAAGTAAATTTGAAAAAGTTTGAAGTTTACTTTTGGGCTTATTTAAACTGTGCATGAATGATAACAAAAATATAATGATATATATATATACACACACACACACAATTAACATGGTTTTGAATGCAGATATTTGGAATAGAAGTAGAATGCTATTGTATGTGTAAAAACTTAACAAGTTTGTCAGCTAACTTTCAATTTAGCTTTTTAAACACATTAATCCACTAATGCTTGCTTATTTGTTTCACCTTATTTAGTTAAAAGTATTTTTGTCCTGCTGTTTTGACCATTTCATTCAGTGTTTACCATGATCACTCACCACACATTTTGTATTATCTTAATTAATACTGCTTTGATTCAGGTTTTTGGATTCAGAGGTTTAAAAGTAAAATTAGGCTAATAATCTGTCTGTGTTGAAATTAAAATTAAGATACAACCTTTTTTTGTCATTACTATAGAATTTATTACCACAAACTGTGTGTTGAAAATAATATTGAAGTTTTCTGCTTTTTTGTTTCTTTTTTGATAAGAAAAACAAGTTTTGATGATTTTCAATATTCATAGTAATATTTAAAAAACAACTTTAAAACAGTTTAAGTATGTTTAATCTTCAACCCTTTCTTTACCAGCATTATACACTATACACCCCCACAGGTCTTACCATCATAAGTACATTATGTACTGACAGTTTTGTACTAGGTCACATTGTTTACCAACATGGATACATTACGTAGTGACTGTTTTGTATCAGGTCACATTGTTTACCAACATGGATACATTATGTAGTGACTGTTTGGTACTAGGTCACATTGTTTGATTGTAATGAAGATACGTTGTATGGTATAAGAGATACTGTGTATTCTCTGTGAAATGTTGTTGGATATATCGTGAACAGTGGACATCATGCTTATCGAGACCAATGCCTGGTGATGTGAACTATATTTTTAGTTACATGTAGCAAAAGTTTTTGATTTATGGCACAAGAATGCTATAATTTTTGACCTACTTATGTAAATTCAACCAACATTCAGTTAGGGTTAATTTTAAGTTTTTTTATTAGTAATTTTATAGATGTCATTGAAATTTATTTGAATAAATTCCATTAAAAAGGTTTTTATTAAAATCATTGTACAGGGATTTGTTTTCATATTTGTTTAGTACAGTGTCTTATTCAAAATTAAGTGGTTCACTTCACTGATAGGCAAAGTACAATCTTTACGATGTTTACACTAGAAGTGTTGTTACAAGTTAATGAATGTAAGTCATAATATATGTTTCTTGTGTACCTAGAAGTTTAATTTAGTAGTTCTTTTCTCAGTGATTTATAAGTACTCTTATTGAGTCTTAGTTAAAGTTTTGCTGCATGTAACTCGTTAGGAGTATTTTTGAACTCATTGACGGACTTCACTGTTGATGCACGAGCCATCTCCAAGCGCAGTGATGCCAAAATTGATTGCACAATAACCAACCCTTCTGGTGCCCGTACTGGATCCTGTGGTCAAGAGTATGGATGATGGAACATATAAAATATCATATACACCATTTGAAGAAGGTGAGTAATGTACATGGTACCTACATAATATGGTATATAGATATATATATATAATTTTAAAAATTTAATCCTCGTACATAAAACTTAAAAGATATTGTGCATGCCTTTTGTAGAACTTTTCTGTAGTTATTAGATTTGCAAAATATAAATTGACGTCCCACCTCATGTCCTTGTGCAAACTAGGTTTATGACCATTAGTAGGAATTAGCAAAAAGTTTTAATAATGTATGTAAGTGATGAAAAATAAAGTTTTAGGTAATTTTAGTATTTTTTTTATCTTCTAAATGTAACAAGCATACCTCTGTGAAAATGGCACAGAATGAAAATATGTGAGTTTCATGTTTGTAGTGCAAACTGGAGAGTTCTATTCATTGTCAAAAGAAGAAATAAGACACGGCCTATTACTCCAGAAAACATAATTGGTTTTATTTAAACCAACATTTTGCCCATACAGATTCAGTGGTGCAAACAAGACACTTGCTAACTGATTTAGGCTTAAACAAAAGATTTCCAAATAATATGAGTCTGAGCAGTAGATGGACTTCACCCGAGAATATATAAACGAATCCATTGTTGCCATCACTTCTTGGCGGTCTTATATACAAGAATACCGCACACCTAGTAAACACTCGAACATTCACGAACCTTCGAGAATATCATGACATGTTACTAGCGTCACGTGACTTCCACTGTCGTAACAGTATAATAGGTTTGTTTGTGTTTTATTGAACATTTCCCAAGATGTGTAAATTTCCTTATTTATCTTAGTTCTTTTCTTCTATGGCATATCTAGCATCTCAAGGCATTTTAAGGGGCAAATGTTTGTGGTTCATAAAATGCTTGTCAAAGTTTCACTTTAGTGAATATCTGTAGTATGGAGTGAATTTACTTATACTTAAAAATAGTAAGGAACATACAAACAGGCAAGATAATTCTATCTAAAGCAAACATATGTTATTACACTAACTAAATAACACATGTCTGCTTTAGATAGTATTATCTTGTCTGTTTGCATGCATTTTCGGCTTGACTCAATTGTCCGTCTCTATCTCTGTCTGCAATTCAATTACGTGAATCGTTCATTCGTTGTGAATTATAGCGTTTGTTTAAGTTATAGCGTGACTGTGGAAATTAAGTGTATTGCAAAGTTGTATTGAGAAAGAATAAACTAGTTTTATTTAAGAAAGGACTTGTATCGCTAAAGTTTCTTCGGAAAGAATTTTTACGGAAAATTAACAAACGAACAGAGACGTAACTATACTATATAACTATATGTATATTGTTTTAGTTTTGTTTTTTAATTTATAACTAAAAAAATTATCCCCATCCTGTGATTGAGAAGACTATGTTTCCAACATGGTTTTGAAACTGGTAATCCAGTTGAAGCTCACAAATTTTTTGAAATCAGTCTTTTAATGACAAATGTAGGAAAAACACATCTTTCTAATGATACCTCATTCAGTGTTTTAGCTATTATAATTAAGTTAGAATGATCGTAAATAGATATTAGAAATATAAATGGATAGACATGTACTTACGTAGACAAATGGATATGCACTTAGTAGGCAGTTAGATGGACAGATGTGTATTTTATGTGAGTAGGTAAATGTAATTTTTCTATCCATTATGGTAAATTACTATTAACTTCTGATGAAAACAAGCTACCTTCATAGATAAGAATTAAAAATTAATCCAGTAATCAATATAACTAATTTAATATGCTGTTCTTACTTATAATGATTAGAATATATTATTTTGTCAGTTAGATATATTTGCTGTTAGCAGTATTTTTGGCCATAATCTCAATAATATCTCACAAGGCTTAGGAGAATTAGATTAGCTCTAAATGTATATACTAAACTAACAGTGCAGTATAATCCCTATAACAACTATATAATAATAATGGTAAATCAAAAATACATAAATCATTTAAGTGTGAATGATATACATAAAATCTATAAGACAAAGATATAAGTATCTTGAAAAAGTTAATCATGTACCACAAACTTTTGGGATCTTGTGCCTGTATAACTTTAAGAAATAATATTTTATGAATTGACAATATACACAGAGTTCTTGGGAAATGTGAGTCAGATCATTAGAAAATTCAAGATGTTGTGTACATCACTCAAAGCAGTTAGGTTAAAAAATTAAAAGTTTAAAAAAGTGAAGTTTTAATTCAACTTAAAGATAATAAGTTTCTGTAGTTTATAGAAGTTGTATTATGAGAACATCAAATGACATAAAAATGTTTAGATATAAAAGTAGGGTAAGTTTCTTAATTAAATGCTAGCTAAGTCAATCTTTGCAATATTTATTAATTAGTTCATTTTTAAAGAAAAATGTGGTATTATTAATTTCAATTTACCGACTGTTTTACTAGGACAACATAAGATTGATATCAGTTATGATGGGGTACCTGTTCCTGGTAGTCCTTTCAAAGTTAATGTTACAAAAGGTTGTGACCCACGAAAGTGCCGAGCTTATGGGCCTGGGCTGGAACATGGAGTTGTTAACCAGGTGAGAGAAAATTGTAAAACGTGCATTCTTATTTTGGAGAACAATAAAAAGTTAGATATCTTTGCAGTAGAAATATGCTTTTTCTCTGTAGTGTATAAAGTGTGCTTTATACAAAAAATACCTTCTAAATAGTTGTTTTAAAAACTATAAATCTCTTCTTCGTATGTCCTTTTCTGATATGTATGACATTTCATCACATTCTTGTTGTAATTGAATTATCTAACTATGCTAATTTTAAAATATAATTGTTCTGCATATTGTAATATTTCATCTTTTGTATGAGATGCTGAAGGTTAAAGTGACTTGAGACAGGTTTTTTAAACAGATTTTATATTTTAAACAAATAACTTGTTTGTAAGTGTAGGTATTATTATTTTATTTTTTAATATTTGGGCTAATTTTGCTATTTAAAAAAGTTTTTGAATTTGTAATTTCAAAGTACTAGCTTATAATTTCAGCAAAGTGTGGTAAGTCAAGCTGCTTTGGTGGAATAATTGACTTTAAATTGTTTATCACACTAGACTTATACAAATCTTAAGCTGTAGCTCACTTGCAGGTATCTCTTGTTAAAAATTGAATACATCCATGCTAATAATCCACTTCAAGAACTGTATTTATTTTATGAAATTAGTTTTTTTTCTTTAGATGCATGGACCAATATACGGTATTATGACTTCTCCTGTTTGACTTGTTTGTTTTTATAACTAATAAAAGCTAATGTTTTAATGTATTGAACTTATTTTATTGTAGATTTTTATTCATAATACTCTTGTTCTTTTAAAAGATGCAACACTAAGGTGGTAAGTTGTATGTGACCAACAAAAAACACAGAGATGACAAATGTTCTGTAATTCCTATATATTATTCAATTGTTGTTGCCAGTGTTAGTAGCCTAAATAATCATCTTAGTGTAATTCTTAATTACTAACTAATTTTATCCTGTGATTCAGCTGCCAGTCTGCTGCAGTCTTTAGGGAAGTCCTGAGAAGGACTATTTCTGTGTTTTAGTACTGACCAGGATCCATTCTTCCAAGAAGTCCTGAGAAGGACTATTTTTGTCTTTTGGTAGTGGCCAGGATCCAGTTTTCCAGGAAGTCCTGAGAAGGACTATTTCTGTCCTTTGGTAGTGGCCAGGATTCAGTCTTCAGGGAAGTCCTGAGAAGGAATATTTCTGTGTTTTAGTAGTGGCCAGGATTCAGTCTTCCAGGAAGTCCTGAGAAGGACTATTTCTGTGTTTTGGTAGTGGCCAGGATCCAGTCTTCCAGGAAGTCCTAAGAAGGACTATTTCTGTGTTTTGGTAGTGACCTGGATCCAGTCTTCCAGGAAGTCCTCAGAAGGATTATTTCTGTGTTTTGGTAGTGGCCAGGATCCAGTCTTCCAGGAAGTCTTAGAAGGATTATTTCTGTGTTTTGGTAGTGGCCAGGTTCTGTCTTCAGAACTGTAGGAGTTCTCTTTGTATTGGAGGGCACCAACAAATTCCCAGTCATAACATTTTAACATTTCTCAGTTATGTTGTCAGAGCATCATTGATTACACTCATAATATCATATCTAAATGCAACCAAAAAGATAAGAAACGTATGTTATACTTTACCTGATGGCAAAAACAATATATATAAATGATTATTATAACATAAATACTTAGAATACATATATATATGATTATTTTAAAATGATACTGTTATCTGGATTTTCTAAAAAAAACAAATATTAGAATACATTTTACAGATAATGTCTGAGTAGTTTTTTTTCAATTTTTCAAAAGATAATTCTTGCAAAAAATACATTATTCATGACCCATAACACAGTCAATAGTAACTTGGTTTTATAAATTAACATAAATTATTAATGTCTTGTTTCAGTAGGATGAAATTTAGTGCATATTGTTATTAGACCAGACAAGTATAATTCTACCATTATAATATTTCTTTGACTTTAAAATACCGACGCAGTAATTATAATGCTTAATTATATGTTTTACATAGCATTTGTTTAGAAATTATTGGGAGCCATGTGCCCCCTAGCTCCTATGTCCCTGATTCTAGTCCTCTTGGGAAAAAGTGTGGTGTGTTATACAGTTGACTGGAATCTTCTCCATTAGAACTTGAATCAACTAACGATTTAAATATTTTCAAAAGGTTTTTAGCTGCTAATCTTTTGTTGTCTTTAGAAAGGTCCTCACTAGAGCTGGGATATTAGTGAAAATTTCTAATTGATTAATTGTTAGGCCCACATATCAGTTAGTATTCAATTAATCAATTATTTTCTTATGAGCTAGCTAAAAAACAACTTATAATGCTAAAAATCAGGTATCATTACCACAGTAGGTAGAGCACAGATAGTCCATTATGTGGTTTGTTAAACAAGTGGCAATATTTTGATTAATTGGAGAACTGGAATAATACAAAACAGTAATGATTGGAAACATTTGGTACTTCAGTTATACTAACTGATATATGTGACACTAATCAGTATAATTGATGCTCATAAATAATTGATTTGTTCAGTTACTTGCCCAGGAAGGAATATATTTGCACTGGAAGTGGCCTGGATTTCTTGGGTCTAACTTTTGCTGATAGGTTGACGAAGTATGTTATCAGTTAGATGAGGGTAGAAGGCTTCTTTTAACTTTCTTTTATCATATCCCAATTTATCATATGGTCTTCCTCTCTGGTAGGATGGACTGTTGCAGATAGATCAGTATAACCTTACTATAAGCACTTTATGTTAATCACCATTATCTGTTTTAGGAACATTAGTTCAGAATTAGTAATATAAGTCTTGGAACCACATTTATGTGCATGATTAGATAATTTTACACTAGTCGCTTTCAAAATTAAGTTATTTAGAGTTTGACAGTTTTTCACAGCAATGATTTTCTTGTGAAGTGGTAAGGATTGAGAATGAAAGCTGAATGTTAATAAATCAACAACCAAGTCACTTTTCTGCACTGGTATTCAAAAATCCTTACCAGGAATATCCTGATTAGCAAACTTGATGCCAATATCATACTCCCCAGGCTCAGTGGGAATATATTCTACAGTACATGTACCATCTCGGTTGTCTTTACAAGTCATCTTGGCCTCAGAAGGACCTTCAACGGCAAGTCCCAGTCCACCAGTTCCAGCCCCTTTTGTCTCAACAGTAAAGATGTTGGACTGCAAGAAAACAGTGGAAAATATTAATATTATATCAATCTTAAAGGAATTGTGATGTACCTAAGAATAATAAGTTAAAGAATAGTATGAAGGTCAAAACATAAGCTTACTATTTTAAAAAACTAAGATGCAACAGCAATTTGAATTTAAACTCGGCTTCAGCTTAGCAGCTACTTGAGACTCATCATATCTTAGCCACAATTCCCTTTTAGATCTACTTATAATGTTACAGTTCTACAAGACCTTTCAAAAAAGCTGTATTTATGTGTATGCTAAAACTATTAAAACAATTTTTAGAAACCATATCAGCTGAAGTGTAGCAGTTTTATTCATAAATTGGGGAATCACATTATCAATGTGCTTGGCAGAAAAAGACTATTTTAACTTGCATTGGGAACATTCCCATATGGAAACATATTGATAGTATTGTTACGTCTCCGTTCGTTAGTTAATTTTCTGTAAATTTGTTCCGACGAAACTTTAGCGACACAAGTCCTTTCTTAAATAAAACTGGTTTATTCTTTCTGAATATAACTTTGCGATACACTTAATTTCAACAGTCGCGCTATAACAAACGCTATAATTCTCAACGAACATCTCACGTGCTCAACTCAACAATACTCAGTTCAATTACACATTGTTCCATCATGTTGTGACCGTCTTATATATACAAGGCTAACACATATCTAGTAAATGCTAGAGCATTCATGAAGGAACAGGATATTTCTAGAAGTCAATGACGTGTTACTAGTATCATGTGACTTCCGCTGTCGTAACAGTATGAATTCTATTGATCGGATGGGTATACAAATTTACTGTTATTTATATATATGATATTTAGATAAAAAAGCCAAAAAATATTTTGAATAAGTATGGTTGCTCAAAAAAGAGCTATCAGTATTAGGAAAAAAGTTACCAAAATGGCTGTTTGTATAACATGATGGTTTTCAAATAAAATACTAAAGGTTTACAGCACAATATTCACATAACAAATAACTACTAACAAATCACCACCCCTGACCCATAGTGTTCAGTCTCACACAGTTAATCAAACTTAGATGTAAACTTACAAATTCATCAGTCATGTGAGACCTTTGGATTATTATAACAAATTAGGCACTGAGTGGTTTTTGTTATTTATTTACACAATGACTATATAAAAACTAACCTTAGAATAATTGTTAATATTGTGTTAAGCCTAATTTCTTTAGCAACAATTGTCTGCACTAGTGAAAAGACTGCTGAATGAGTAAGCCTTGTCTTTCCTAGTGCAGTGTTACATATTCTTGGTGTATTCTTTTAAAAAATATTCACTATATTGCATAATGATTTATGTTGTATCTTATGTTTATCAAGGCATCACTGTTTGTTTTCATCACCCTACACATGTATTTCACAACTCATGCTAACACATGTGCTGGACATTACAGAAAAAAAAAGTTTGTACCATACTACAGTGGAAACCTGACATGGGTAGAAGCTAAATCTGTTGTATCTTTTCAATTTATTTCTGTGACCTTTGTAGGATAAAATCAAAAGAATATGAAATTTGCATCCAGTATGCTTTGGTTACACAAAACCCTCTACACAGTTAGTTCCAAAGCACAGATACTAAAATATAAAATTAAGTATGTCACAGACAGTCAAACTTACTATATTATATTTCATTTTGTTTTTGCACCCTAGTAACCTGTCTGTCTTAGGTGAAATGAAATACATAATATACAAAGAGTTTTAGCATTGTTATTATACAAAATTTTTGTATTTTGGAAATATTTCATAATTTTCTTATACTCAAATTCTATAACTTAAGGTTTATTGGATGAAAGGCTATAAATTAT